GAAAATCAGTGCGCCATTAACGAGCGTTAAAAACGTTGCGAAGTCCGCGTTTTCGGCAACATAACGTTGAATCAACAGCGATAAAATTGCAGTCGGTCCTATGGATGAAGCAAGAAAAAACGAGATCCAAATGTGTCACTGCACTTTTGAAATGTTTGAAGACGGATCTACCAACCCACTACGAATGATTTACCTATTGTTACATCTTTACTGCTACCAAAAATTAAATAAACAAACGAGCCGATGAAACCGGAATAGAGGCCATATTGTGGCGGAAGACCAGCGACAATTGCATACGCAATACCTTGTGGTATGGCTGTTAGGCCGACCGTCAAACCGGCGATAAAATCGTAAAACAAATAGCTCAGTCGATATGTTGGCACCCATTTCAATATCGGCAGACGATTCACTAAAATTTGCTTTCGATCATTGTACATTCGGCGCACATTTCGATTGAGTATACTGCGAAGCGGTGGCCACTGTTCCGAATAATCATACGAATAGTCTGCAGAAAGGGAATAAACACATTCATTATCTTTGCACAGAGAGGAATTGTCCACAAAAAATTACACATGTTTATAAATAAGAAATCAATTTTGCAGCTATAATTGGGCGAAAATATCAAACTGCGCGAAATTCAGAAAAACAAACAAATAATTCACAAAAGTATGCAATGGAGAAAAGAAAACCAAAAGAGAATTTTTTGGTTGTGATTGATTATGCAAAATAAAGAGAAAAAACATTGCAGATTATAATTATTAACCCTTTATCACATATCGGTTCCTAAAGTTACCAGATAGGCCAGACGCTATAGCTATGAAACCACTGAATATTTTTGCATTCTTGTTTGTAAACAAATGTAGGGAATTGAACTAGCTTTCATTTGATACTTTACAGGCTACAATTGGTTGGCTGAATGGAAAGTTTTTTCTGTTCATGTACTGCTGTAAAAATTATATGTAATTATAGCAGAATTCCACATTTTTCCTCCTCACATCAATTTAACTTTCTGCATCATAAGTTTTATGAAATTTAATTTTTTCAAGCTTTTATAGTGATTTGACACTTTTGACTCTTTTCCGTTTTTCTCGACAAATACACAATTTTTCAAAAATCTAAGTATGGAATTTTTCTCTATTTATCGTGGCACAAAACAGATATCAAAATGATTCAAAAACCAAAAATTGTGCATCAAAGGGTTAAGCCAGAATCACATGAAAGTGTGCTGTTATTCCGACATCGAAATTGATAATCGCTTTGATATGAGCGAACAACAAAAACGTGTTTGCTGCCAAATTTGAGTCGCATTATATGTTTGGCGCAGAAATTTGCGATAAGAATGAAGAAAAATGAAACAAAAAAATGTTTGGTTTTCGGTCAAAAATTGGAGATTTGAAATAAAAATCGTTAAATTTATTGTACAATTTCATTTTTAACTAAACTAATGAGTTTCTCATTCACCTGTTCCGTTTTGAGCATTTATGCTGTCTTCATTGTAACTGCTGCTTTCGAAGGAGGTAGCCATTCTTCGAGCAAATCTCCTCAATTTTGTTAAAGTCCCGTAGTACTACTTCTGGCTGTTCAGCGGAGAGGAAATCACATAAGTTATTAGAAGTTCTTTGGAGATTTTGGATTTCTATTCTTCACTGATTTCTAATTTTTTGACCGTTTCACTAGTTTCATTCTGACAATAAATTATTTTTATTTTATGACACTGACTGTTTTCCCGTGATAAAAAGCGCTATTCAGTCGTAGCTATAAACTCATTACAATCATACTCAGTCTTGTCTATTGTGGAAAAAATCGAGTGATAAATCATCTGAAATCTGAGAATCCCAAAATTTACACACAAATCGAAATTCTTTATGGTTTCGGTGTAGATTGGAAGTGAACTGACTGTATTGCGAGTGGCATGGTTTTATAATTGTTGGCATTCCTCTCAACTTGTATCAAACAATTGATATTTCAGACGCATATAGCAATTGAAATTTTTTACAGGCTTTGGACACAATTCAATGTCAATATTGAAGCCATTATCAGCTGTTACACAGTACCATACCACTCAGAAATCTAATTTCGATCATTAAAACGGAAACTTGGAGCTATAAACGATCAAATCATTGTGTTCAACCAAGCTGTAATCGTTCATAATCCCAAAAGCGTCAATCGAACAAGAAATGTTCTTGCTAAAACAAACACCGTTTGATGAAAAAAGTCAGAAACGTGAGATAATTATGTTGAAAAAAATAACAGTGACAAAATTTGTGATAAATCGATTATGTCACATTCTTGAAATCGTAATCGTGTTCACTGGAAGAGATAAAAATGTGAAGTAATCTCATTCATAAAGCCTAGTTTACAGTTCGACGAAAAAACTTCGCTCCGCTCTGCGTTCTTGAGTTTTTAGTTACTTAATCTATTTTGTTGTTTCACAACAAACTATTTTTTGGCGCACTACATGAAATGTATTTCATCAAAGTAACTTTGAAGTAATATATTTTTTTGCAAAATGAATTACAAGATCTTGGTTTTATTTCTTTTTTGAAATACACTGCCTTTGGTTTAAATTAAATAAATAATATGAGCATAAAATCTAAAATCACTTTAATTCTGTTCAAGACACAGAAAATATTATACGAAAAATTAATGTGATTTTTAAACAACATTTGATAATAAAAATTTGATTGGCGCTTTGAGATATTATGCACTTATTTGTCGTTAGTGCACCTGTTTTAAGTTAAATAAAAAAAATGAGCATAAAATTCAAATTTACCATAATTCGTTTCATCACTCAAAAAGTATCTACAAAAAAAAACAGATTAGTAGCTCAACATTTCATGTAGTGCTAAAAAACAAATTCGTTGTGATGAAGAAAAAGACACAAATAACTTGGAAGTTCTCAGAACGAAAATTCTGCCAAATCAAATTAGAACGTCTGACGGGAGAAAAACCTGAAAAATTCAAAACACGAGCTCTGTTTGATAAATGATTTTATTTTATACGAAAAAAGAGACCTTATGTATACATACATATATACTGGACGATTTTACATCGTACAATAAATATTCTTTGCTGCTTGTGACATGAACAGAATTAACAATAATATTAACAATTCGTCTTAATAGTGGTATCGATTAAACTAAAGTTATAAGCATTTTCTATACAGGAGTACAAACTTTACAAACTTTTTGATCATGCAGAATACATAACAAATTTTTCCCTAAACTGTGAAATGGTGAGTTATCTACGTTTGTTCGACTCTTCATTAGGTTAGTTTTTAGTGGAATTACGTCTTATGAAATGATTTCGTGTCAATCCTCTCGAAAATTATACGATGTAAGTGTTTACAAAATTAAGGTCTTCACAGAAAACAGAGGCATTTATCGTGTCCGGATCGATCAATCGAGACTGAGCGCGATTTTATTATGTGCTGATTTGAGATTGATTCCTGGTAAAATCAGCACTGATTGAGAGTGAATCTTCGATATATCACCGTTTCAAAGCTTCGAGTAAAAGTGATCAGACTTTTCCTTTCTTCAAGTAAAAACAGTCGTATGATGTATTATTACTCATATTTCCATATAGGAATGTGTGATACTATTCGACAATCATGCGTCGGCCGAAATTCGAACGGCCGTTCCCTGTTTACCATTCTCCAAGCTGACCGACTTCAGTAGCTCGTCTTCCGTTTGAGCATCTTTGAATAGTGCGAACATTTTCGAATCTAAACGACACAAAACGCCCATCGGCTCTTTGCTCCAGTGCCAAAAGTATACCTTCCGTTGCAGCAAGTTCATATCTTCAACAACGGTGCACAAGGACTGTGGAATGGAGAAACATTTCAATTGAGATTAAAATGATGATTGGAAAATGACTAGAATGAATA